ATGGAATTGCTTTCCCTCCTTTGGAATAATAATATTTCTCGATGGACGATCTTGAGAAATATCGGACAGGGATGGACTATCCTGAGAAATACCCTTTTGTCAAATCTTGTGAATATTCGCGATTGGCGTCTATTAGTCGATTCGTCTTGCGCTGAACTATCGATTTATAGAGAAGAGCTATTTCACTCAGAATTTGTCATTTGAAGATTTGTATGGAAATTCATAATATATTTTATTAAAAAACCACTTTTGATGGTTTTGGACGATTTCCACAAACAAGCCATCTGTTTGGAATTCGTTTGGTGACTGGCCTTTCGTATTGGCCAAAATACAAGTCGATATTCCTCGAATTTCGAAGTAAACTGACCAATTACATCGCGTGAATTAAGCATAATTCGAGTGATATGTAGCTTAAAATCCGTCGTTCACTGTACCTTGTCTTGGTGGTTGGTCAGTGGGGGATTGCCAAAAATACCTCAGATGGCCTCCTCATACCAGTTTTATATTCTATCTGAATGTGGAATCGCATAAAGCGTGGCTCCGTTTCAATAGCAAATAGCTGAAAGTGATATTGTTGTGTTTATTCTAAACTGGAGCGACATGGAGGAAATCGCAGTTTAGAAATCTGAGGCAATTTTGGTAGTAGTCCTCCAGTACCACTCCAACATTGAATCGAAAGGTACGGTAATACACTGTGCACGTTATCATCATCTATCCGGATAAAATTAGAATTACCGGATAAGTTTGCTGATGTTTGATTGGCAATTGCCTGTACAACTGCGCTTCTACTTGGATATTCAAAGTATGGAGGCCCTGCTACGAGTGCTCGACGCCGCGGTGGAGGACAGCGAGGCGGTGACCGACCACCTTTCGGCGCTCTCAGCCTCGGAGGTAATGCTACTTTGTCACTTTTCGACTAGCGTGCATGAACTTGCTGGCGTTCGTACAGGTAGAGGAGCTGGTCCGAGCTCTTCCGCTTGTTCAACACCACGAGGCGGCCATCAACGTAGTGCACAACCTCCTTCAACAACGGAAGTCACGGCATGCGTCTGCACGTGTGATCATCGAGATAATCCTCTCCCGAAAGCTTCCGCCTAGATGGGTCACCGAGGTTTGCATGGGGTACATGTCGTTCACCGACACTGTGCCAACACTCGACAAGGACGTCGCCGACACGATCGACAGCATATTGCGATTACTCCGCGCGTACTTAGATGCTCCAGATTCCTCTCAACACGACGACTGGCTTGCCTTTCAGTCCGTCCTCGACGCCCTGCCCGCTCTGGTGCCGTTGTCGTCGTCCGCCGCCTTTCCCATCGTAGGACAGCGCCACACAACCCCGTGTCACATATATCCCGTAGATGCTGGATGAGATATTGGCCCTGCCGTGGACTTTTGCGTCGTTTAGCACGTTGCTTTCGTTCTGCAAATCCAATGCCATGCACATGACAGGTTCCCACCACCACCGCCTATATGTACGTCTGACTGTCTGGCTTTCTCGACGTGGTATATATATATATATATTGTCGTTTTACGCAAACTTTGGACTTTTGTGCTGATTCTTTGCCAAATCGATCCTTTGTACTGACGTTTGTTTCGTAAAACAAGTCGTCCATTGTGATTACACTAATTTCAGTGACACACTAATTCAATGTTGACTTGGTCCAAGAGTGGATTTGATTGGTTACTTGATTCGTGTAGTGGGTTTGGATTGATCGATTCTCTGTCGATTTGGTGCATTGGTCATTCGATATTCCAATTTCGTTCGAATCGACTGGACTATATATATATAATATACATTTCGTCCGACTCGTATATGGCGCTAGGCGCTATGTCAAGCATTCGTACCTCTGTTTCGCCACCAAACAAAGTATACGTTTTGGCATGCCCTTTTACTCGCGTGCTTTGACTTGGCAGCCGTCAGCGGCGCCACCGCCTCCATCAATCATCTTCCCAAGGTGGACGCCATCATGTGGATAGACCTCGCGCGGACTTCGCTTTCGATCGTGCCAACCCCGTTAAATCGGGAAATGGACTATTTCTTTCAAACGGTAGTACCCACATATCCCAACTTGGACACTATTTGGCCTACGTTATGCCGTGATGTAGGTGTTTCAGCATACTCCGACGTACATGATGACGTGGCTGCACGCTGTCCAAGCATCGACTTCGACGCCGCCATCATGGGACTTGGCGCTGTGCGTCCATGCGCTGCATGCATCCCAGCCGTTGGTGGTAGTCACAGCTGGAGACTCTATATACCACCAGCTTGGCCGCTGTCTTTGTCGATTGCTGGTTCAGCTGGAAAGTGAACAAGGAAGCGAGATTTCGTCTGCGATACAGGGGCTAGTCGTACATGGAGGCCACTGGAAGGGTCGCGTGTTGCTGGACTTGGCGCGACTGATGCTGGGGGGTACTAGTACCACTCACAGCCATGTGTGGACAGCAGTGATCGTGACATTATTTCAACAGGTATTTTGTGAGGTTGTAGGACCTTTGAAATTTCATATAAAATTCAGTTGAAGAGGTATCTTTGGGACTAATCAATGTTTTTAACCAATCAAATTGCAACCTTTATTCTTTCAGGCCAATCATACTCCTTTGCTTGATTTGGTGGGTGATTGTAATCACACTACTTTAGGTCTCACACTAATTGATTGATTTCGGATGCTTGCTTCCTCTAATATGATCAATCCTAACTGTTACCGATTCTTGTGTTTACACTGAGTCGATTTATTCATTCTCCATATGTCGCTCCAGTTTAGAATATACTCACTACAATATCTATCTATATATCGATACTATACTGGGTCTTACTTGGGCTGTGTAGGTGGCGGAACTTCGGCCAGACATTGTGGGCTTTTTCGGGTTTGGGTTTGAATCCTCCCTTGAGGTCATGCAGGTGATGTGTATGTACTACGCCTTCGTTGTAGCCCTTGGTATATTGTCCTTTTACCCAAACTTTGGACTTTTGTGTTGAATCGCCATATATTTATCGATCGATTCTTTGTACTGAAATTTGTATGCTTCGTAACACACTAATTGAATTCACACACTAATTTTCCGTTGATCATGGTTTCCTGCAATCTGGTTGGCTAAATTCTTTGGCCGATTCTTCTTATTTAATTGTGTCGGTATTCATTCCCCATGTCGCTCCAGTTTAGAATATAAACACAGCAATATTATTGTGGGGATTCGGTACAAATTTCCAGACCCCGTCGAATCACGAATTGACGTTACGTATTGGCTAATCCAATTATGAGTGGATATGATTGGCTCGAAAGGACAAGTATATTCAACCAATCAAAACTCCAGCTGGATTCAATATTGATTAGATAAACCACACGAATTTTAGATGTTATAGCGAATTCACAATAGCTGCTAAAATATATTTGCCCTAACAGTTGTATGTGTGTGATAGAACGTCGCAGAAGCAGCACTTGCCCATGTAGTCGCCACGCACCACCGGCTGTTACAGCCCCATTTGCACGACCTGCAAGACCGATTATGGTATTGTCCATTTACCCCAATATTTGGACTTTTTGTGCTGATTCTTTGCCAAATCTATCGATCGATTCTTTGTACTGACTTTTGTATGGAATAATTGTCTAGTCATACACTACTAATTTCAGTCACACACGAATTCGATGATGCCTTGGTCGAAGAGTGGATTTGATTGGCTACTTGACTAGTGTTGTGGTTTTTGATTGGTCGATTTTTCGATTGGCTGTCGATTTGGTTAGTCTGCTCATTCTATTGAGCACCCCACTCCAATTTCGAATCGACTTGGCAATAACAATTTCTATTGTCCTTTTAGCTAATAAGAACGTAGATTTTTGTGTGCTGAGTCGTCCAATACCCTATCGATCGAGTGTTTGTACTGAATATTGTATGTAAACAACAGCTGTCCCAATGCACCACTAATTTCTCCGTCACGTAGCCAGCTGTGCCAGTCCAACGTAGCCCAAGGCTCGCGACTGCTCGAAACGTGTGAACCATTAATAGCGTCGACGCCGTCGTACTTCTATTTCGTGATCGTATTCCTGCGCAAATCGCTCGTGTCGCCTTCTCCAGACTTGGCCATAACCCACTTGTGTCATCTGCTCAAGTCGCCCGCCACCTCCGCCGTCCAGCGCGAGGACTTGGCTTCGTGCCTCAACGATGCGCTGTATCTGTCGGCGTGCCGCCACTTGGCGCTGTGCCACGTCCAGTTGGTGCCCGATGTGACACCGTTTGACCTAGGGGTGCGACACTGTTTGTCCACGCTCATGGAACTCGACAGCTCGAGTCTGCTGCTGCACATGGATCAGGTTCTGTTTCCCCGTTTGTATTGTGCATTTCGCCCAAATATGTGGACTTTTGACAGTCTAAATAGCATTTGATTCAATTTCATCTGATTCAATTTCATCTGGTACAAACTATACGATACAAATACTAGTATATATCTGGTTTTGCCGAGTCAATCATTTGGATTGGTAGAAATATACTTGAACGTGATTTGATTGGCTTTGGCGGTTTCGCTTGAGACATTCGATTCTGCCGAGTTTCGGATCGATTTGACAATATTTCATGGGATGATGATCATTGGTATTGTCCTTTTACCCCATTCAATTTGGCTGGCTTTTGTGCTGCTTCTTTGCTAACTCTATCGATCGATTCTTGGTTCTGACTTGGGAAAGTTCGTCCAGTGTGATTCCACGAATGTCAGACCTCGGTGTTGAATATTGGTCGGAGAGTCAATCAATTTGATTGGCCACTCGATTCGTGTTCTGAGTTTTGATTGGTCGTATATCGATATTATCGGCCGATTTGGGTGTATGCTGCTCATTCGATCCCCAATTTCGAATCGACTTGACAATATGGCATAGCTGGACGGGCACAGTGGTGGTGTCCTTCGGCACTGCCTCGCGCTGCTGCCTCGCCTATCCAGTGCGACCCAAGAGTTTGGACGAACCCTAACCACTCATTTGAAGTCGGTGGTTTCACGCTCGCACTGTCGGGCGTTTCTAGAAGCCGTGCCAGACCGCGCGGTAGCCGCCGCGTACTATGCGAGCTTGGCCGGCATCGCCGGCATGCAGCCCCTTCGTTGCCGCCTCTTGACAAGCCTCCCTTTACCCCCCCCCACCTCCTCTACCCCAACTGCCTGCAACCTACTCCACGACCTTCCGACCGCAGATCTCTTGGACGGACTTCAACCTGACACTTGCTGTGTACATTGGTCGATGTACCTGCCTTCACCACCTCCGACTCGCAACCCTCTCACCAGCTGACACGTCGACGCTGGCTAGACACTCGGTGGCTCTTTACGTGACGTGGCACCACACCAGCACCGACGTGATTGTCGACCCGCACCCGATGCCAGACCTCAAGCTGTTGCAGACGCGGAAGCCCGTCAAGCCCCACGATGTGCTTACATGCATCTTGAAACTGTGGCCATCGCTGGGCCCGGCCGCGATGGGGCCGCACTTGTGGGGGGTAACGACGTGGAAACCAGTTAGCCACGCGCTTCTAGCCCAGTTGGACCCGCTCCTGGACACCCAGCGACACATTGGGCTGAGTGTGGCCATCGCAGAGTACCTTCTCGTGTTGTGGACTAGATTCGACCCTTTGTTATTTGGTCGGGTGGCGTTTTCTGGCCCGAGGCGGGTGTACCGGTTGGTGTGCCAACACGTGGTCAGTTCGCCCAAGTTGCTGGCGTCGTTGCTGCAACTCGTGTGGGTCGATCCAACGTTGCTCGTTGCACGTGTCGGCGCCGTCTTGCAAGAGGCGCAGTCGCTTTCGACTCTTGAAAGTCCTTTTCATGACGTGGCAGCCCCTACGCTCACCACGGACGCCACGCGAAAGGTGGCGTACGCAGACGCACTAAAACAGTTCGAGCAGCGCTGCTGCGTGGCCAACCCGCCCGCCGCCGCCTCCATCCACGACCTCGTCCGGCTAGCCAAAGTCGCCTGGCACAGGCCGAGTGTCTCATATGTTCATGCTACCCGCGCCATGGACGCTTGGTTGCGCGTAGGCAAAGCGTCCTTGGTCCAGCTTATGGCACCCACAGACGAGGACTTTGTCTCGCAGTGGAGTGTCGTGAGTGCAGTGGTGCAAACGTGCGTCGATGTGGGTGTAGGATGGAAACAAGACCCCCAGGTACATACATTGTATATGCTAGCGTAGTTAGTTGGGGCATATATATATATATATATATATATAGGGCTGCTACCGAGTTGGGGTGCGTCGTAGGATATATATATATATATATTTGCGATTTGGGCTGACTGACATGAAATTGATCCTAGCTGGCCGACGTGACCGTGCGCATGCACCGGTTCTTGCTCGATGTGTCGTCCAAGGGTTCCAGTGGAGTGAAAAGAGTTAGTTCGTGCATGTACTACATGTGATATGCGTTTAACTATTTGATGATGTAGCGCATTTGGCGAGGCAACGACGCGGCGGCAGTCAAGCGCGTGATTCGTACCATCACGACCCATGTGGTGGAGGTCGCAGACAGACCTAAACGCACCAAGTGGACGGTCCACCACCCTTTGCCTCATACGAAGCGAAAGCGAAACACCGCGACGCCCGTCCGCAGTCGACACCCGTATATTGACGACTGTCTCCAACAAGAAGAGAGCGGGGACGACGCGTATGCAGATTTGGAGGACTTTATCGTAGACTAAGTTCAGCAGCATTGGATTCTTTAGCGCTGGTTTGAACGTGTTATCGTTGTTTGGAGAGAGAAATAGTCGACAAGATAACAGGAACGTTAGTTGTTTCATAGGTGATATAAAGTAGTAGGCTTTCTTTACAAGGGAGTGGTGCTGGGGCTTGAACCCCAGGAATCTATATAAATGCTATTAAAAGAACAGTAATCAGTTGTTTTCACACTATTCTACAGAGGAGGGGTCATGAAACTAGCACGTCGAAGCACGGCAAAACCATCAGCCCAGCTACACCGACCTCCCCACACATTGTACCGACTTGTCCAAACCCATTGAGTCACAGACTAGCTCGCCGCCAACTCCATTGGCACCTCCCCCGACGCATTCTCTGACCCCCACGAAATCGACACGAAAGTTCGTCAAGTCTAGCCTAACGCAATACTCATCACCCGTTGGCGGATGTGGGCTACCTCGCAGGCTACAAAGGCCCGTCTTTATCACCTCTGACATCAAACCTGTCGATTGTACCTTAACAAATCTATGTTTCATCACAATGTAAACGGTTGTTCATTTGATTCCCACAATACCATGTTCCTGCCAAAATTAGTTGCCACTGTAGGCACATTG